CACTGCAATCATGGTTGTAGCACCTGAACGCCATTCCATCTTTGTTGCGGGTGTATGGCTTGCATACCATGTCAACAGAGCACGTTGGACATGCAACCACTCGCTTCAACACTCCTCTAACTCTGAGGAACTCCACGAGACCCGCAACAGGCCCATTCATAACAGGTTCCAGCACATTCTGGTAGTAGCTAAACATAAGGGTAAAAACCTACTAAATATAAAGGGTGGATTTTTACCTTAAAATTTCTAAGGTCCCTTTTTTTCCCCACGTGGGGAAAAAAAAGGACATGATCCCAAATTTTACTTATGGGGGCTTGATTCAGATGCATTTTGTTTCTATCATTACCTTTTTGCTCCACTTGTCATATTTGTTATCCAAGGGTTAGAATTCCAAAATTTCTGAACCTGAGCGGGACATAAATATAGAGAATCGTGGGAAATTAGCATTGTTTTAACAACTTAATGTTTGCTAGGTATTTATTAATATGATTCTTACTGTCTTGTACCTTATGGATAGGAAAACAGCTTACACCAGAGCAGTAATACACTGTTTGTTTACATTCAAAACGGTAGGCTTATATCGCGCAAATGACCTTAAAAATATGCTCAGGTTCGTCCCATATAACAAATTATTGGCTAACATGGACAAATACCACGCCTAGGAAGATCACAATCACTTTCTGGGTGTTTAAAGCACAAAACAAGCCAACGAATTAAAAACTGTCAGCTCAAAAGTAAATAATGTTGAATGTATTTAGGTTAAATGTTTCTATTCAAACTGTTTTGTGACTCATAACGAAGGAATCAATGCGATACTTTAACACGAAGGCATCATTGAACACAGCGAGAAACAATATTTTCAAACGTTTGAAATTTGATGAAAAATATTTGATACGTAACCTGAAATGAAGCCATATGACTGTATCCAACGAAAACTGTCTGTATTAAACGGATTAAACACCAGATAACACTATTAGAGCAGCCTAAAAGACAAGAGAACAATTTTTCAGTGATGTTAGAAAAGTGATAAATGCGTTATGGTTTTGATCGAAATTTATGGGTCTAAAAAAATTGATACTGGATTAACCAATTGGATAATAAGTGTATAGAAGCCTAAAAAGACGGTATTTGATGTCTTGGTCCCATTCATCTGACCTAAACCTGACGAGTTGGTATTCAATTTGAAAAACGTTTCAGTAAAATTGTCTAAAAAGCAATGTATTGATTTGGTTAGCAGCCTATCTCGATGTGTAATAGTCTATTTGTTCATTATACATTATTCATATAGATAGTTTGTGATTGATTCTTCATAGAGAGATTCACTGGGAAGAAAAAACGTCGTAAACAAAAAACGATCTTAGACAGGTGATGATGAACGCTCAAGAAACATCACCCGCGAAACCTTATCTAAACCCTCAGGTTCAATTCAGAAATGTGTGTTTTGGACAGTAGAAACTCTAGAATGAAAACTAAATGCAGATTCTCTATATTTATGTCCCGCTCTTTTAGTCAAAAATATTTTTTTGTAAGGTATAATATCAATAATAGTATGGCATCAAAAGACAATACGATATTAATAAATGTTACCTGAAACATGGTAACGAAGACACCTTTCATCTGTCCTGAATACATGTGTTTTGCGTTTACATGATTCTCTATATTTATGTCGAGCAGTGTATAAGTTCTTGTTTCTCCCTTAGGCAGCACTATAGATATATCAAAGTCAATGATTTTGATTACGTTTCTTGTACCATCCCATTTTTGCATCAGGTTATCTACTCTAATATCACAATGAACAATTCGTTTAGTCTGTAAATAGGCCAGGCCTTCCAAAACATCCTTCATAACCATTTGTATGTATTTGAAATCACCTTTTCCCTTATCAAATGGACTTAATTTTTCAGTCAGCATAATATCAACAACATATTGTTTTTCTATATCTGGTTTGTTCGTAATGAATGTGTAATACTGATATGTTTCAATTATGTTGGGATGCTTCAAGTCTTTAATGGTTTCACAATCAATTTTGCCAATAACTGATATCAGTGGTCTACTGATCTTCAGGCACAAATCATCTTTCACAAATATCATTGTTTTATGCACAATATACTCCAAATTGAATTTTTTAGTCTCCATGTAGTCCATTATTTCATCATCAGAAATATTGATCAACTCCTCAATCTTCTTTGCAATAATAATGAAGTTGCTATAATGTTTGAGATCATCAGGATCTACAGGCGTAGCAGGCTTTGGGGTTTCTGCTTTTGTTGTAGTTGACTTCGGGGTTGTTTTTTTACTTGAAACGTGTTTAATCTTTTTATGACCTATTATCAATAATGTTGTTACTACGGTAACAAAAATCAACGAGATTGTTACAAATGTCACCAGTACGATTGTCTTTATCAGTCTATTCTTCCTAGCTTGTTCCATTGACAGAGTGGGGAACAAAATTAGAGAAATGGAATCTGTCAAATTACAATATGATTTCAGCTTTTCGATAGAGTAAAACCTAAGCAACCTTTGTTGTTCACGCAACAACAATCCTTTTCCCAGAAAAATGTCATAATGATGCAAAAAGCCAAATTTAATATATCGAATTAAAATAAATTAATGAATAAATAATAGGGTAACCACAAAAACATGCCTAAAGCATGTAATTTGGTACATAAGAGATCACACATCATGTATATTCGCATGTTACCAGCCTCAAACAACACAAACGTGCTCTAAGTTTGTATTAGTAGAATTTTATGAAGAGCGTCTGAAAGTGTTTATGTGGTGCAACATTCATTAGACGATAGCTACTTACTGAGTGATATTTGCACAATAATATGTATTTTATACAGATTTTCAATGAATACCTTATCATAAGATATTTTCATTTCAAAACAACCTTAACAGTTTTTTTAAGGTATTCATGTTTAGAAAAAAGATAAACCGGACCAATAACTCAACATCTTGTTATTGGTCTGCAACACATGTTTATATACCAAAATAGCAACAAACCAATACGTTCATCGATTGTGCAGGTTTTTTGATCTTTATCTAATACTCAAAGTTATTCGCGTCAAATCTTCTAACCTTAGACATCGGTTTGTTCAATATCGAGAGTAGTTTTCAATATCAACGGCCATTGCATGATTTTTATCAACTTATATTTTACACTAACAACAATCCATTAGTTTGCGTATTTTGTGACAATAAAAACATGAAATTCTTGAAAACACACATCTTAAGAAAGTTACGGTAGGTAAAACAACATTTCCAGTCCCAAACACTAATAGGATTCTATTTTACACCCCCAAATGCTGTTTTACATATTCCATACTGTATACTCAATCTCCATAGAGCCTATATTTGTTGACGGAATTCTATCAAAAATCGATTTAGCATTTCCATATGATACTGTGATAACTGATATACACCTTATTGTTGAAGAGAAAATAGAAAAAGTGATACCTTTAGAGAAAGTCCTGATTAAAAATCACTATCCATGTAGATTAGCAGAAAAGCTTTGTAAAGAGATAAACGGCTACAAAGATTACGCAAAGGCTTTCTGCCTATTGAAAACAGCTGAACACGAAAAAAGAGCAAAGTTCATTAAGGTCCTATGCAAAATAGCAGCGAAACAGAATTTAGAAGAAGCGTCTGAAGAAATAGCAACCTGGCTTCTACATAAGCAGTTTGAATTATTGATAAGTGAGTTTGGAGTAAAACAAACAACCAGTTTTAGTCTTAAAGCAAAATTATACAAGTGTGACTCAATTAACGACTACAGGTATTTGGAAACAGAACTGTACAAATTAAAGCCACAGGAAAAACCAATAGAAGCAAATACCAAACCTATTGTAATAGATGCTAGACCTGAGCAAAAGAAATTTATATTCATAGAACACATTTCTGATTTTAAATCAGTGGATGAATATATCGAAAGAAAAAAGAAACAGAAAAGGTACAGAATTAGTAGAATGAAGCAACCGACAAAACGAGGCCTGGAATCATTTCTGGATAGAAACATATTCAACCTCAAGGATGAAATAGATATCAGAAGGTATTTGTTGATAGCAATCATGGTATTGACTTGTATTAACATGCTTCTTATTTATATTTGCACTAGGAAGACTAATAAATAAACGACTTTAAGGTATCTAGTTCGTATATTCAAATGTTGAATCAATGTAAATTTAATTCACAATTAGACATAAATCAGTCATTTTAAGAATAAACTATTCATTTACCCTTAATGGAGAGAATTACATTGTCTATTAACCAACTAGTTTTATTGGTAACCATTAGTGCAATTGTATTCATGAAAGCAATGTTCTATGTGCCAAACTACAACGATCACTGTAGTTCTACAAGATCTAGCCCACAATACAGCAAACTAGTGTATTTTGTTATTGATGGATTAAGATACGATGGAATCATGACCAAAGATGAGCTATTCGTGAATAATACGCCTGAAAAGAGACATGATCCATACAAAGGCCTGGAATTCTACAGAAATAACTACGACTTTTCATATTCCAAATTTCATAGAAAATATGTTTCAATTGCTGGAAAGCCAACAGCAACAACATCCAGAATCTTCTCAATGATCACTGGCAAAGCATCGAACCAATTGGACTATTTGTTTGCATTTCTGCATATGGAACAAAAGGGAGACTCGTTAATTAAGCAGGCCATAAACAGCAACAAAATAGTGAAGCATTACGGTGATAGAATGTGGGTGGAACTGTTTCCTGAGATTGCTGAGTATTCCAACAACTTCGATCCGTATGGAAAACATAAGCTTAAAAGAAATGAGAAACAAGTTTATGAAGCATTCTTGAGGGACTTAAACCATTGTGACATACAGTTCATGCACTTGATAGCAGGTGATAGTACAGGACACATGCATCATAACATCGATGTTAAAGATATGCGAAGGCAACAGAAGAGATACAATCGGTGGATTAGGGAAATATATAACAAAATGGAAGAAGATACACTGCTTGTTATCACATCAGACCATGGTGTAACAAACACAGGTGACCATGGCAGCTTCAATGATATGTGTGCTGCATCCATTTGCGTCCTTTTGAGCAAGAAAGAGTTTCCCAAATGCATAAGACCTGAAACAAACAAAGTATATGACTATTTTTATGCAGAAAACACCCTGATAAAGAAGTATGGGTTAACGAATATAATTCACCAGGATGACATTCTTCCCACTGTGTGCTACTTAACAGGGTATGCAATGCCAAGCAATCTATGTGGGTCCATTATCGATGATTTCGCAACAGTTGAAACTCTACAAGAAACCATCAGAATCAAGGAATCAGTAGCCTTGAAAAATAGGTTTTGCATCAAATCAATCAGAAACAAGTTCAAATCAGAACTAGGAATTTCAGTTGATGAAAACCCATTGAATTACTCACATTATTTATCACATGCAATAAGAGAAGACATGTTCAAGATCAACAAGATGCTTGGATTCACCTCAATAGCAATTCAGCTGGCAGCAATGTGCTACTCATTCACCACGATCACTCCCAGATTCCACGATCTACCAGGTTTCATTTTCATCTTCTACGATTGCATCTCATACTGGTTCTTTTCATACCGTGATCTATATTACGTGGGCCTACTTGCATTCTATTCAGTTGGATCAGGGGCACAGACACTGATCATGCTACTGATAATGCTCTATCTCAAAACAGACAAGTCCAAGCACTGGGAAGACTACAGAGCTGATATTGTCACAGGAAAGTACCTAGAATGGATCAGTCCTAATACGATCATTCTACTATTTATGGTAGTCTACTTATTCACCAGCCACCCTAAAATCAGATTAGCCAATCTGCTACATCTCATCCACCTATCACTACCAGGCATCTACTCATCCAATACTGATGCAATCAGACACAACCCTAACATCTACGGCCTACTCTTCGTCCATTTCACCAAACACGAGGCATATTCCATCATAATGATCTATTTGATCATAAACAGAATTAGGGTCTCAAACAGAAGTTACACCTGGATCAAGTTCATCATGGCCCAGTTAGTTGCACACCTGTACAACTTCGACTACCAAATCACATCAATCAATTTTGATTGTGCTCATCGATTCACGTACAAGATCAACTACTTCTACGTCACCATTGGATTTGCTGTCTACTTTTTTGGAGCCAGATACTTGTTATGGAGGAAAAGAGGCATTTTAATAAATTTGGGTGGAATTGAATTGAAAAACAAGACGAAATCAACTCCTGGAATCCTGAAATATCTGCAGCTAATTCAGTTTCTCCTAGTTGTCTCATCAATCAGTGCCGTAGTAATGCATGGTGACGTAGTATGGACGAGATTCTTTGCTGATAGATTTGTTATACAATTCTTCAATACTGTATTCGACCTCAGCATGCTCTACATTGGTACAATCTAAATGGTTAATAACATAAATTAATTTCATAATAAGCTTATCAGATATTAAAAATTCAATGACACCTGTCAATCATCTATGGTAATTCCGCTGTCAATATCACAGGTGTCATTTCGTGTTGCAGCACTTTTAACCCCTTTTCGAATGAGTAAAACATTTGAATTCTCACATGGGACAATATTCGATGCACAGGACTATTTAATCAGAAACGATCTAGGACTAAGATATATTTTCGATGAAAATGGGGAGGAGAAGAACTACATCAGCCCAAACTGCTTCCTGACGGAACTCTACGACAAAAATTACGGTACGACGAAGGCAGAGAAGATTGATTTCAGCCTGTACGCATGCCACTCACAGGAGGACATTCCAACGAGCTCGAACGAAGTCTACTCGATCCGCTCGCTGCGATGCAATGTGCCTGGCTGCACGAAGGCGTTCTCGTCGACTCAGGGCCTCAAGTACCACAAACAGCATTGCCATACGGTTCATAGGACATTTGCGAAGAAGCCGTTTGTGTGCCACGTTTCTGGATGCACGAAGAGCTACAAGAGCAACAACGGCCTCAAGTACCACATGCAGCACGCCCATGCTGGGATTGACCAGGAAAGCAGCGGCTGAGATGATTTAAATTATGATAGGGCTCCTTTTGGGTATTTAGTTGTAGAAGGACTCCTTTAGAATGAACAATAAGAAACCGATGAATCTGCTACCAAAGCTGGACTCATTTCTGCGAAGGAAGAGGGAGCACAGCTACTTTATCGAGGACGTGAAAATATACAAAAACATAAGGGCAGACAGCAAGGAAAGGCTTCTTAGCATAAATGTGTTTAAGACTACCAAAATGGCAGACTTAATAGACGAGGACCAGCCTGGGACTGCCTCTGAGGCGGCGACTGAGGGCGAGTTGAGGAACCTGAAGGAGCCACTGGTCCCACCAATTGGAAAAATAGGCAACAAATTGGATCTACGGAACTTCACCAGGACGTACACGATCACGATGAGAAGTGGAGGGGCAGGAAGGAGCAAATTGGCCAAGGAAATGAGGGAGAAGTACGGCAAACTGATTCCTGGGGCGGCAATTGACAATTCTGAGACGATTTGCGTACAGATTTGCAAGGACCAGGATGGATCGAGATACGTGCAGAGGCAGATGGAAGAGAGGTGGAACGGGGCTGAGATGGACGAGTTCTTCGACCTGGTCAGCGGATACGTCAGGGAGCTCTCCACGAATCTCTTTGGAAACTACGTCATTCAGAAGATGGTGGCTCTTCTTGACGAGTCGCAACTTGAGAGAATGAGAGCCATTTTGAGTGGCCACGTATTGGAGCTATCGACCAACATGTTTGGGTGCAGGGTGATTCAGGGACTGGTTGAGAGGCTGAAGAAGAAAGAGGGGCTGCTTGACGAGGTGGTTGGCTGCACAGGGGCGTTGATGGTGAACCCATTTGGAAACCACGTTCTGAAGAAGTGCATCGATGTTGAAATGGAGGCAGAGAGGCAGGAATTCATTTCTGGCTTCATCAGGGCGCTTGTGGCTGGGGCCAGGGAGTACGCGATGGAGAAGCACGGGTGCAGGATGGTGCAGCACGCCCTGGCGGTGCTGCCAGAGAAGGAGACGAGGGAGTTTGCGTACGTTCTGCTTTCAAATGCCCAGGAATTGGCCAAGGACCAGTACGGAAACTACGTAGTTCAAGTTCTAATACGAAACAAGGAGTACTCAAAAATACTTGAAAAATACGTCGTAGAAAATAGCAGGGAGCTGTCTCTGTGCAAGTACAGCTCGAATATCGTGGAGAAATACTGCAGCAGTGGCAGACTGACAGACGACTTCTTCGACGAGTTCAACGTGCCTGGCCCAGATGGTAGGCCATTTATGCTTACGATGATCAAGGACGGCTGTGCCAACTACGTGGTCCAGTCCCTCTACAACAAGGCCGATTCGAGGCAGCGGACTGCCATTCTGCACATTCTGGAGGAGTACAAGGACGAGTTGGCCACCCTGCCCTACTACAAGACACTCTGCAATAAGTTTGAAAAATGAGTACAATTTGCCTACTACACCTTGCTGATTATTCTTGTGAAATACGCCTTCCATATTGATAGGCCAAAACACGCATTTCCAAGCAGGGTGCAAACGTGGAATATCTCGTGGAATCCAAAGACGCGGGGATACGGGTTGGGCGACTCTGCGCCGTAGACAACGGCCCCAGTGATGTAGAAGACGCCCCCTGAAACGAGAATGGCCAGGTCGGTGGAATAGAAGTTCAGGAATATCCGCCTAAAAAGGAGAATTGAGAGGCCCTGGCCGCAGTAGACGACCAGGTCGAATATGTTGTGGACGTCCAGCTCGCCAATCAGAAAGAGCTTGACGGATCCAAGCACGGCCAGTCCCCAGGTCATCTTCAGAAACGAGTCGGATGAAATCGACTCGTCTCTTTTTGGTAGCATCTTCACCACCGCTGTTTGCGTCCCACAAATCAGGAAGAAGATGGCCAGGTGGTCCAGCTTCCTGAAGAAGTGCTTGACGCGTCCATCTCCCTGGTACGTGTGGTAGAGAGCACTCAGGCCAAATTGCATGATTTGCACCAGAAAATAGAGCATGACGTATCCATTGAATGATTCGGTGTATTTCATGATGACCAGGAATACGATTGCAGAGAGACTCGTGGTGATGAATGCAGCAAGGTGGATCATTCCCCTGAATGTTGTTCGTACATTTGGGTCGTACTCCTCTTTTGGCTTCGAATTGCTCGTAGTCTCTGACATGGGGTACTTAAAAGTGTGTTTGATCAATATTGAAATGGGTGAGTTGATGAAGATATTCTGGTTGATGGGAGAGTCTGAAATAGCGAAAGTTTTACCCTGTGATGGCTACTGCTACAATTCGACAGCAGCTTGAAATATGCAAAGTGTTCATGAAGTACACGCATGAGAACGAGGACGTGTTGGCGCAGCTCTGTCACATGAAGACTGGGCTAGTGCAACTGAATTACTCAAAATTGTACGAGATTTATCAGGAGCACAAGAAGGAAGCAGAATCAGAGGAGTTGGAGACGTTCTTTGTGACGAAATACGGGGAGGAATTGGAGAAAGACGAGAAGCCATTTGTCAGAAAAGTGGTGAAGGAAAAGGAGGAAGAGAGAGAGGGAATGGGAGACGACTGTGAGTCTGATTCAGCAAATGATACGACAGAATTGGTGAGTCTGAATGGGGCCAAGATGAAGATAGGTCTAACGAGTGAGATACTGGAGAAGATTATTAAGAAGAAGAAGAATAAGAAGTACTACAGGGAGATGGGTGTGAAGCATAAGGACATGGACAACCAGATTGACTTCATGATTCAGGTGGTGCAGTCAAATGAGAGGTTTCAGCTCAGGGAGAGTCAGGTGAATGAGTTTGATGGAAGAAACAAGAAGATAATCGACTACTACAGCGAGATGGACGTGGAATTCAGGCAGATTATGCGAAGAATAAACAGCCAGGGAAAGGGTGGGGGGAAAGAGAGCACCCTGACGAGTGACCTGAAATTCATAGAGGAATATTTCAGAAGGCATTTTGGGATAGAGGTGACGAAGACAAACACGAACAAGTTGGCAAACACGGTAGTGGAGATAATGCGGGAGTTACAGAGGAGGATATTCAGCACAGATGACGAGAAGGAGACAGATATGCTACTGTTCTTCAAAAACAGACTCTATTCATTCTACAACTTCTATAGGAAGTAGTTCAAGGTATAATACATAAATGACCATAAATGACTAATATAGTGATTACACCAGTTACAGAAGAGTGTATTGTATTTACTTACATATTTAG